TAATTGACTCAGCAAATTATAAATTTGTAAATATTACTTAGCTATAAATATCTTATAACGAACCTTTATCCTGTAATGGGTAATAGACGTGACAAATTGTGTATAAAACTAGTTTAAAATTACAATTAATTAAGGTTTTTAGTTGAGATGAAAAAAAGTTAAGGGAACGAGCGGGATTCGAACCCACGATCTTCGGCTAGATACGCCACTGCTCTACCACTTGAGCTATCGTGACCTCGATCCACTCGGACATCAACTTCCTATCTCAACCCCACCTTATGGGTTTTCCCTCCTTTTTGCCATTTTTCATCTCATGAGAAGCACTTCACAAAAAGCTCCCCGTGGCCATTTCATTTGTCGTCGAGAATCCAATCCGATTACACGACATTTGAAAAATGGCAAAAAGGAGGGAACACTCATAAGGTGGGGTTGAGATAGGAAGTTGATGTCCGAGTGGATCGAGGTCAAGGTCAAGATAGCTCAAGTGGAAGAGCAGCGGCGTATCTAGCCGAAGATCGTGGGTTCGAATCCCGCTCGTGCCATTAACTTTTTTTCATCTCAACTAAAAACCTTAATCAATTGTAATGTATTAATTGGTCAAAAGGACCACGAAATTAGTGAATTTAACTAGTTTAAAATGTTATTTTTTTAGTTTTTTTCTCGTTGTTCTAATGTTTTTTTAGATAGTTTTTAACAATTTAGATCAAAACTAATGTTTTAAACTCCCTGTTTTATCGCTGAACAATTCAGTCCTAACAAAGAACCTTCCCATTCTTCAACTGTGGCAGTGTTCCACCTACTTTGAAGACTTATTACCTGTGGCTTTTTCAAAGGGTGAAAAGTAGCTTTAAAGAACGAGCTGCCGTTAGTAGTTTAGCACGTTAGTTTCATTGGCGTAGTCACTAATATTGTCCAATGTATTATTCCCTTGTATCTAGCGAAAAAGTTCTTTCGACGATTGACAACTTTAATTTCAACTGCGCCGATTGTTACACGCGCTATTTTCTTTTATGCCCTGTTAATTTATAGCCTTGTTCTGGGCATAACTAATTGGATGGTAATTTTCAATCGGTTTAATGGCTCAAAAGGAATGTTCGAAGTTTGTGAAAACTGAGAACTTTCCATATAAATTATCTCATTTAAATCACTCTACCGTACTAGGTCGGAATACCATTCTAAACATAAACGCCGTCCTTTACGTATACATTATAAATAAAACAACTGAATAGACGGAGAAATTTCATGCTAATTAATCGTTACTGTTTGCGTTTGCATAACGACGAACCTTTGATATTAACTTTGCCACTAATAGATCCCAATTTTTATTTTAAATATTTAATTGAAAAAGTTAATATTACCGGACTTATTCGAAATAATCGTTGTAATTGGATTGAAAATTAATTTATTAGAACGTTAATTAAATGGATTTTGATTTAACGCGAGGAAAATTCAAGGCTATAATTTATATAAAAAATAGAAAACATTCAACGTGAAAAATACGAACAAAATCTAATTATAACTTTTCATATTATCCATTTAAACTTTTTAATGAAATATTTTAAACTACAACCAAATTTACATTTCTTTCTCATAATAGTAAGTTTTAATGAGTATTACATTTCTAGTAAATTTTAAAGTTGTTATGGTAAATATACTTAAAGTTAAAAACTCCAGTCACTAGTATTTTGACGTTTATTTCAAACGATATGTATTACTTATTGCTTAATATTACTTATTAACTTATTGTTATATAAAAAAATAAACAAAATCAATTCATGAGTTTTAATAAAAATTATTTAATTACGATGGTTTGAAAGAAAATTCAAATTGGTTATATAAAGCAAAAGTATGTTGTAATAAATATAACAATAAAAATTCATACATATAGCTTAAAATTTTGAGAGTTAATGTATTTATTGGTGTGAATGTGTAGTGTGAGAGGGAAAATAGCGGAATATCGTGTACCCATGGACTCTTAAATAGGTTAGTTATACAGGGTGTTCGACTACTCGTGTTACAAACTTTGCCAGTATATTCTATATTCGAAATAGAACCAAATAGTCCTTATTAACTATGGTCCGAATCTCAACAGTTTCGAAGTTATTCCACTTTTTCTGATTTTTTTAAATTTCACGACCTTTCTTCATATAAACAATGGTAACTCCAAAAAAAAAAGGTTTTGGACAAATCCGTTGATACCGTTGAAAACTACGTTCAATTTCCAATAAGATGTGATCAATACTAAAGTTGTAAGAATTCGTGAAAGAGGCGTTTTAGTAGCCAGAACGTTGATTTTATTTTTCAAAGATGAAAAATTTACTATAGTGATTCTCAACTACTATTTCCAACCCTAGAGACCAGCGCATTTCAGAAAACGTACTCCATTTAATATCCTTTTTAGTTGTGCAATTGCTTTTTTAATTACTTTTTCAAAGATGAAGAAATAGATGAAGGAAAGGAAAATACCGTGGTTGACGGATTTATAAGGTGGAAATTTAAAAAAAAAAAAAAAAACAAGATAATTTTGAATGATTTTATTAAACTTTGTTTTAAAATTTGGGTTCGAAACCGAAATATTGCAAGTGTTTACTTATTTACCAACAGGACTGCAACATTGATTAAAGAATATTGTATTATTATTCTCCGGAATAAAAGAGTTTTATGATTCAAAACGTTTTTAGTTTTCTATTTAATATCGTGTTAACACTATAGCTACTTTTTCTGATGAAGAATACGATGATATTCATCTTATGTATGGGTTTTGTGGGTTTAACGCGAGGGCAGCGCGTCGAAAATACATTGCAAAAGGTGGAGAGCAATTCGAATTGAAATTTTAAAAAAAGTTTAATAAAATCAATTAAAATTATCTTACGAATTCTCGACGATAAACGATAAGACTTTTTTATCTCAACTAAAAACCTTAATTAATTGTAATATTTTAATTGGTCAAGGGGACCACGAAATTAGTGAATTTAATGATTTAAAATGAAGTATACTTCACTAAAGCTCTCCGTGGCCATTTCATTTGTCGTCGAGAATCCAATCCGATTACGCGACATTTGAAAAATGGCAAAAAGGAGGGAAAATTCAAAAGGTTGGGTTGAGATGGGAGGTTAGTGTCCGAGTGGATCGAAGTCACGATAGCTCAAGTGGTAGAGCAGCGGCGAATCTAGCCGAAGATCGTGTGTTCGAATCCCGCTCGTGCCATTGACTTTTTTATATCAACTAAAAACCTTAATTAATTGTAGTTTTCAATGGTATCAACGGATTTGTTCAAAACCTTTTAGTTTTGTTGTTACCATTGATTATTTGAAACAAGGTAATGAAATCTTAAAAAATCAGAAAACCTGTAATAACTCCGAAACTGTTGAAATTCAGACCATAGTGAATTAGGATTTTTTGGTTACATTTTGAATGTAGAATCTACTGGCAAAGTTTGTAACACCCTGCTTAATATGTGTAGAAGGTGATGGAGGAATATCGAGTACTTCACCTTCCCTCAATTGAGTGAATGGTATGTAACTAAGAGAAAATGCATTTAAGAATGACTGAAAGTGTAATTGTGCTAGGAATTGTAGGCGTTTAAATTGACCTAGCTGTTGACAGCACCCGGAGCCCAACCTCGAGGAAAGTTAAGATTGAGGTCTGCTTCCAGACTGCCAACACGGGAGATGGGTAATTCTCGATGCCGGCCGGCAATTTATTGTAAGTTAATAATAATTATTAACTAATTGCATATTAATAATGCAATAAATAATTATTGCAAAAAGCATTTTATTTTCTCTTAATTTTCTCTTTACTTTTAAGACTGAACGTCTATTTAAAAGATTAAACTCCGGCTGAGTTTTATCAATAAAGCGGTTTTCATTCATTTTTTAGGCATTTTTTTAAATTACAACAGCAAAAGTGTATCTTTTTTTAAACAGGTTTTTAATTCGAAAATTTTACCAATATTATTTTTTTGTTTTCTCAAAGGGTCTTTTTGTTCTAAGGACCATTTCTGTGTGGCCCAAGAAGTAGGTGTAGCAAAGGGCAAAAAGAAAGAGATATAGCAGGAAGTTATAAATTAAAAAAAAAGATCGGAAGAGTAAAAATGAAAGTCATATCCTCAAAGCGACCCGCACAAAGGACGGCGGGAACAAAGGTCTGTGTACAAAGAGAACATGTAAAACCCAAGCAAAATGCTCTTAGAGTTCATAACCAAGGAGGGCAATAGGGCGATCTATAAACAAATTTTATATAATAAGATCCACTTCTCATAAGGCTCTTTATCCCTATAAGACATTGCACAAAGAACAATCGGACCGGTTTAATTGTCAAGCTAGACTTAAAAGAACTATAACTTCTATTAAATAACGTCCAAGGCATTAATATGAATTACAAATTTAATTAGAAAAGTGTTGTTGAATTTTTTTAATTATGCGAATCGAGATAACTAAGTTTCTTTTTCGGTTTGCAAAGTAAACTGAGAAGATTGTTTCATGCTTAAAAAGTTTGATCGTTATTCCCGGCTTTGTTCTTTTGTTGACGAAATTCACGTAATCTTATCCTCATCAGCGCAGACCGTCGCACATGAAAAGTCAAGAAACAAAACTAACTGTTTTAGACTTAAATCAATAAAGGAAAAGTTAATATTATATTTTTGCCAGCATTCTTTTATTAACAAATAAATCAATTTAGTTTTACCATATTTTATAATGGAAAAGTTGGCATTTAAGATTTAGACACAGTTACTAATAAAAATAATAATAAATCAACTTGTTTAAAGCCGTAAACAGCTAGTTCATAATTCAATTTTCCATTTTTATCCAAAAAAACTAAATTACCATAATATCAAATTATGAAATTTGCTTATTGCCACCAATATTAGCAATCGTAAAATTCGTAATATGTCAAAAAAAATTAAATTAATTATTTAAATTGAAATCTGCAAAGGGGTTTTTTATTGTTTAAATTGTAGCAGATTTTGTTTTATTTATACGTTGAATTTTTGGTTTTAGGTCGCTTGGATTAGAGAGGACGATCAGACTGTTCTAAGCCTTCATAAAAGAGTCGTCACACATAATTCCAGGGTGACCGTCAGCAGCGACGGTGACACGATTTGGAAACTGCACATCAAACAGGTCAAAGAGTCGGACCGCGGTTGTTACACTTGCCAGATCAACACGAGCAGCATGATTAAACAGTCTGGCTGTATAGATGTACATGGTATGATTCACAACACGTATTAAACTAAATAATTCAGATTCAGTAACACAAAAATTGGTTTTAAGGATGAGTCTTTGTATTTCGAATAGCTATTACCCTTGAGTTTTATGTATTTTGCTAAAAATTCGTTTTTTTATAACATTACCACTTAGAATTCTGAATCTCTCATATATATATTTTTTAAGAGAATGACAATTTAGTACATTAGAACATTACCAACTCTTGAGAAAATTATTTTAACTTACAGGTATGCACATTAAAAAAGGAATAATTTACAACCTGTTTATAATCGTTAGTCGTTTGTAGTTAGTAGTAGCTTGCGACTACAATTTGTCAACTACAGTTGTGATTCAAAGCTACAACTCAATACTACTTAACAAAAGTAGTTGGTACGTCCTTCGGCAACTAATAGAAACTAAATGTAGTTACAGATGTACAACTAAATTTCATGCAATGTATAATTCAAGACTATATGTTGGTTCGTGTTTTGTTTTTCTTATTTTTGCGATGTTCTTCAACTACAAAGTTATACGAAACCTCGGTTTTTTGAAAACCGCCCATACGTTTCGGACCAGGGCCGCTGGATTCGAACCCTGAACCTTTACCTTAGAGTGATGAGGGCCGAGTCAACAGCTAAACCGTTTCGGCCACTGTTTTCGTTCGAATTTGGTAATTGATAGATATTATCAATTAAGATATCAATTTTACCTGATCAATATTATACGAAAACTAGTTAAATGTTATTGTCACTACGCCAATTTTGGTTACCTTTTATAATTTCACCCAATCCTCATGTTTTACATATTTGTTATATATAAATTTGGAAAATAACATTTTACATTGTTTTAAATTTATTCAATCATATTGGCCAAATTAAACAGTTTTTCAAAATGTTGTTTTTTATCTCTATTCATGTCTACAATAATAATTCAGGGTGGCCTCGTTGGCTTCTGGCCAGATCAAATCCAATAATTATAGAAGTTTTAGCACAAACTATTTTTGTTGTAGTTGGCGAATATTGCTTGTTAACTCCAAATATTTTATATTATAGTACGTGATAAATAGTAATTGTGAACTCAAACTACTGTTATTACAGTTGGTAAATAATTGTTCTCAATTCTAACTGCTCTTGTTATAGTTTGAAAATGTAGTTGTGAACGCCAACTATTTACGGTTATTGTTGTAGTAGGTAAATAGTCGTTGTTATCTAACTTAGGCTAGTGTTGTTGTCGTCAGCAAATAGGTGTGTACTCTAGCTACTGTTACTGTTAGGAAATTGTCGTTGTGAACTCCAACTACTGTTTTGTGGTCAGAAACTAGTAGTTGTGAGTTCCATTTACGGTTTTTTTAGTCGGATAATAATGAGTGTGAACTCCAACAAATGTTACTGTAGTTGGCAAATAGTAATTGTGCACTTCAACTACGGTTATTGTATTTAGTGATTGTGAGATGCGGTCTGGTGTGGTGTAGGTTTAGAGAAACTTTATTTTATCGTTACAACTTTTTGATCTTTATTGAAATCATCTTCAGAGCTCAAAGTCACATTCCCAACACAACACATAAACGTGACACATTTACACAGAAAACCTACACTTTGAGCCCTGAAGATGATCTCAGTAAAGTTTGAAACGTTGGAACGACAAAGAAAATGTTTTTCTAAACCTTCATCACACCAGAACGCATCTCGTGATCTCTATATTGTCATTAATTAACGGTCACTAAATACTGCATACATACTGTTATTGTAGTTGACAAATAGAAATTATTTCAGGATTTCAACTATTGTTATTATAATTGGAAATTAGTAGTTACGAATTCCAATTACTGTTATTGTAGCTGGCATATAGTGTGTAGTTGTATACTCTGACTAATGTTATTGTAGTTGATTAAAGGTAGTTGGGAGTAGGTGAAAAATATTTTTTTTCGAATTTCCTCTAATATATCTTTAATTTTCATCCCTTGCTTTATATATCCAAATGCGGTTAGTATTTTAAATAGTACATTGATTTAAAACTACTCCATCGTGTTAACAAAATACTACGGTATTGTAGTTGATAAATAGTAGTTGTAAACTCTTACTTCGTACTATTATTGTAGTTTGTGTATTGTAGTTGAGAATTCCAAGCACTGTTATTGTAGTTGGGAAATCGTAGTCGTGAACTCCAACTACTGTTATTATAGTTGATGGTAATTAGAAAACAGTTGTTGGGTGTTTTATTTACTGTTTTTGTATTTGGCTAAAAATAAATGTGAATTCATCTGAACTCAAACTTCATTTACTGAATTTGGCAAATGGTAATTGTAAACTCCAACTATTACTATTGTAGTTAGCTAAAAATAGTTGTGAACTACAAATAATGTTACGTGTTGGAAGTAGTATTTTTAACTTCCAACTGCAATTTTTGTGGGTAGAAAAAAATAGTTGTGAATTCTAACTAATGTTATTATAGTTGGCTCATAGCAGTTGCGAGCGCTACCTATTGTTATTGTCGTTCGCATATAAAAAAATGAGCTCAAACAAACTGTTATTGTAGTTAGCAAATATTTGTTGAAGTCCATCAACTTCCAACTACAAAACTGAACTCCTTTTTTCCCAATCTATCTATATTTCGGTCAAACGAATTGATTAATTTCTTCCAATTGGTTTACTTGCATGTTTAAACAACAATTAATTTTTTTTAAATACAATAAAACTGACAGATTTAATTGATTTTTTACTATGAAAACCAAACAAAATTCATCTTCATATTAGCACTGCTAGTTATGAATTAGAATTTGTATCAAATAGCCATATTGTTATTAATTTAGTACATTTTAAAATTAAAACAATGTTTTTAACAGAATTAAAGACAAACTAACTTAATTGCTATGTTTAAAAATACGAATGTTAATACAAATCTGTTTTATTGGCGTAAATAACATTAATGAAAAATTTTAAACGTGGTGATTTAAAGCTTTACGACAGCTTAATTGGATCAATCATATTAGCATGACATATGAATTGCGTGTGGACCTTAAAGTGATTAATACTGCGTTAGACAGTTGGTTAATATTTAATTATGGAGACCTGAATAAATCGCCATTAAATGAAAAGGGATAATTACAAAAAATTAACAGTCAAAATCAACTTCACTCTGACAGGTTTTTACAAGAATGTGCATAATATCCTTTTATACTGGACATTTCGCCAGTGACAAGCAAGTATTGTTACGGTTTCGATGGGACGTTCAACCTTAACGTATTCATTGGACAAATGCTATTTAACCTCTTTTTTTCGGGTCAGTACAGAATTTATTTCAACAAAAAATCTTTTAACCTAATGAATTCTGTGTGGGGACAATGTAAAAAAACGTACCAGAAGTCCACTGATCATTAATTTTTAAGAAAACGACGATATTCAAAATACCTTTTAATTCTGTTTAGTATGTATGATATATTGTATTCTCACGAATCGTAATAAATTAAAAAACATGAAGTTGAGCTTAAACGAAATTCAAAGTCCGTGTTACTGCAATTTTTTTACAATTTAAATCTGTAATTAAGGTAAAAATATATTTTTGTACAGCTAAAATTCTTAGCTTAGCCCATATTGCTACGTTTTAGATTAGTTTCTAACTTAGGTGTAAATATTTAACCCCCACGCTTTTGTACATAGCTAGAACTGAAAGCAAATCACGTACAAAGCAACGAGTTTTTACTTTCTTCCTTTTTTTCTTTCTTCCCAAGGGAGAAACTACTGAACTTTTAGAAAGCGCCAAACTTCTTTGAGAGGCTAATCGAACAGAAACCTCCTACTTTCTTATTCAAAGTTTAATGACTCAAAAAAATTACTCGTTCCACTTAGTTAAAAAAATGATGAAATGGGTAAAATAACAATTGAAATATAATTTTCTGCGTTAAATGGTAAAAATTAATAATTTAAAACGTCAGCTTGATTTGAAATAATAATTATTTTTATAATATTTAAATGTTTAACACTAATAAATAAAATAAGAATGCTAGCCTTTTTTTGTTCAATCATTCGGGCTAATGAGGTTGAAACAATTTTTTTACTTGAATCATATCAAAATTTGTATTGAAATATTACCATGTCTTTTGATTATTAAATAACACATTTTACACATTGAAAACTGCCATATTCGGCAAAAGAGTGATCAGTGGAATGTTGGAGTATGTCTGCTAATGTATTGTTGCGATACTGTTCTGTCCCCTAGCATATGTAACGATAAGCAACAAAGGCATCTGATTTATATCGATCGTAATCAAGATGCACATAGTACATTGTAATTTACTGCTTGGCTATTCGTAACCGTGTTAGACTTTGTCAGTCTCGATCTGTCATAAGTTGATGAATATTTTTCTCAGACTGTCACCGAATCTAAAACAAATGAGTAAGTACATAAATCAGAGTTCAATATTCATTTTGTTACAATAAATTTACATCGTAGTTTAACTGAAATCATTATTTAGGTTTTTAGTTGAGATAAAAAAGTCAGTGTCACGAGCGGGATTAGAACCCACGACCTTCGGCTAGATACGCCTCTACTCTACCACTTGAGCTATCGTGACTTCGATCCACTCGGACATTAACTTCCCATCTCAACTCCACCTTTTTGAATTTTCCCTCCTTCTTGCCATTTTTCAAATGTCGTGTAATCTATTTGATTCTCGGCGACAAATGAAATGGCCACGGAGGGCTTTAGTGAAGATATACTTTATTTTAAATTATTAAATTCACTAGTTTTCGTGGTCCGCTGAAAAATGGCAAAAAGGGGGGAAAATTCGAAAAGGTGGGGTTGAGATGGGAAGTTAGTGACTGAGTGGATCGAAGTCACGACAGCTCAAGTGGTAGAGTAGCGGCGTATCTAGCCGAAGGTCGTGGGTTCGAATCCCGCTTATGACACTGACTTTTTTATCTCAACTAAAAACCTTAATTAATTGAAAGACATTAATTGGTCAAGTGGACCACGAAAACTAGTGAATGAAATCATTATGTTTGA